TAGTACTATATATATACTATATATATATATATATATATATATATATATATATATATATATATATATATATATATATATATATATATATATATATATATATATATATATATATATATATATATATATATATATATATAAATAAATATATATATATAGTAAATATAACAATATGTAATTCTGTGCAATCGTAAACCTTATACACATAAACCTATAAACTTGTGAATGTATTATTATGAGCATGTAACGTATATTTTTTGTATTAAGGACTTCTATGCCTACTATATTTGTATTATAATATTCAAATGTAAACGTACGTTTTTCTATGCACAACGTGTACGAGAATATATCTGCACATTCTTTATCTCTAATAAAATGTCAAGGGATAAAAATGTTCACGCAGTTGTTTTTTTGCTAAACTTTGTATGATGAAACTTGTGTTTGCTATATTGCCAACCGGACGCGCAAGTTTTCTCCAAACCGGCAACTCTTCCCCTTCTGATAACAAACGGCTGAACTTATTTTATCCCTTATTGAATATATCTTGTAACGGATTAATCTGACATCCGCTATAGAATGGCGAGGTAGGTAATAATCAATATCTCTACATCCTATATGTGTAAAGAGTATTCCGAATGCAGTCTCGTGTCTGCAACCCCGTTTCTCACCCAACCATTGGTTTCTACCAATGTCAACATCACTCGACAGGGAAGTGGATGCTCCACCCAGAGCTCAGGCCCACGAGCACCTCCGAGACCCAACTCTCACGCACAAGGACCGGCACATACTACCAACAGCACAGGACAGGGAGGCAATGTGCACTCACCACGCAGCTACTATGATAGCGATGGAAACGCTCCAAATAGACTTGTACCCCCTCTCCCGCCCAGAAAGGGTGTTAGCCCTACGGACACTCCTAGGGGGAGTGGCGGTAGTAATAGTATAGGTGGTAATAGCGGGGGTGAGAATAACAAGGGTGGTAACGGTAACGGTATGAATAATCAGCCTGCGCCGGGTAGTAAATATAGTTACAACAGTAATGGTATTGGTAAGAAACTTAATAGCGGTCAGATCAATATACTCACGAAGCGAATTAGCGCAAATAATAATAACATCTCACCGAACGGGTCCGTTAAGGCCGTGAAGGCCCCAAAAGTGAGTGACCTGGACAGTACAAAAAGGACCGGTGAAGAGGAGTTGGTCATACCGGAAAACTACTCCCCGGTACCCTCGCAGAGGTTTGAGGAGGTTTACAAACGAGGGGACATCCTCGGCAGGTACGCACGGCTGTGTATGTCTCTGGTGATTCTGTAGCTCTCAGTGCATCTACACCGAAATCGCTCCCCAAAATTAGGGGGACGATGTACCAAAAAATGAGGTCCACGGATTTGAAACGGCCGTTCCTGATATTTTTGGGATTGTGATGTTCGTTCGTTTTTTGGTTTTTTGAAAATACACCTGCGTTTTCGATATGAGGGGGCCACTCTTTTTGCGTACATCATCCCAGCGAAATTCATGTCCACATCTACATCTTCGGTACAGCATAGAAATTGAAAATAGGAGCGCTACTCCCTCACCTGTAGGTCTCTAATATATATATATATATATATGTATGTATATATATATATATATAATATCTATATCTATATATATATATATATATAATATATATTATTATATATATGTATGTATATATATATATATATATACTATATCTATATCTATATATATATATGTGTGTGTGTGTGTGCACCGAAACCTCCGTCACTATGGTTCGTGATGCTCATAACTGCGTAGTGGTGTCTTCTACGGTTGTTCGTGTTGGTGTATCTGTGCACCGACGCATTCTCCACAATAGTAATCGCCCGAGTTGTACATTTGCCTATCCTGTGGAAACCCTATCAGCTCTGCTAACGCTTTTGTGCGCTCATTCGCAACTTTTAACATGCGTAGCGGTGCGTTTGGCACAGTCAACAAATGCACACGGATAAGCGACCCTTCCCAAACCTTTGCCGTCAAAATCATTGAGAGGAAAAAGTAAGTGCGTTCTTGCCTAGCAACGCCTGTGAGCGTACTGTTGGGGAAGGTAGTGCGGTGCTTGATGAGTAGTGTCTGGTTGCGTAGCAAATACAGTGTATAGGTCGCTTATACCATACGGTATGAGGTTTGTGGTATCGATAGATGGCATTTATGTGCAGCATGAGCAGCGTGTAGCAAACTGACTCCTGTGGTCGTATATTGTGTCGCATATCGTGTCGTATATTAAGCTGGTTTAGTTAGCTCCAGCCCGGGGATCCATACAATACCCCTCGCGTGATACATTCACCTCCGCTTCTCGGGCGTTCGTGAACCGTGTGCGATTGGATTAGTGATATGTAAACTTCTCTCATTCAGCACCCGAGTCAGTCAGCGCATTGAAACGCAAACGGCGCCCATAACGAGCGTGCATGCTGTAGATTTTATTATATCTGTAGAAGTGATGTGACGTGATACGTTTGCGATGGCTTACCCAGACAGTTATTATTTATACTGTGTTCATTATATCTGTGGAAGTGATACAACACGATACGTTTGCGACGGCTTACCCAAACAGTTATTATTTATACTGTGCCAGTTTCGTCTCTCTCTCTACAACAGCCCATTTGCTCGGTAGTCGTCCGAGTATAAGCCTGGCCCATCTCACTGGGGGTTGGCTGTATCCATGCGCTGTGTCTTGTGGCCTGTTTCTTTCATTAGTCCGTTCACTTCAATTCTCCGCAATCTGTAAAGGCCCCTCTTCCAGTACACTCTGTATTTGAGCATTAGAAAGCAAACAACAGTACATACGTGTGTGTGGGGTACAATCGATAATCCGATTCAGTCCTATTCTGGTTGAGCGACCCGAACACCCATGCTAATGCAACCTCGACATCCTCAACTAAAACCCTAAAACCTTGAAAACCCTAACCCCCCCACGTCTCTCAGGTTTAAATTAAGGCCTATGGTGCAGATTGCATTGCAGCGAGAAGTGGCTGTCATGAAGATGTGCTCGCACGTATGTGGTCTGAAACGGCTGGCGTCTAGGGCTTAGTGTTGAGACCTTTCCTGCAACACGCCTGCGTGGCATTTGTTATGCACTATTGTACATCATGTTTCAAACTTGCTAATGCATAGTTCGTTCATTTGTGTACTGAGATGCCGTGAGTGTTACCTTAGTTGTTTTCAAGCATCCTCTGCAGTCGCGTGCAGTTGCATACGACATAGCAATAGAGACACTATCAGTAGAGTATCACACCAGCCGGAGAAGTGTGCTTGTGAATTTTCCGTGACCGCTCAGATCGAAGACAACCCTTTTTTACCACCAGTGGTTGACTGTATGTGTACGTGTGTACACAGGCTTTTGTACATTTATATGTCCTTGTGTATCTGAATATGGACTCCGCACGCCCATGATACTTGATCCACAGCTGTGCGTATCTCGTATATACTTCCATACCTCCATACAGTCAAACGACGTATACATATATATATATATAT